ACATGCAACACAAAGTAGGTGTCACGTCAACGATCCCCACGTGAGCCAACGCACACAATGCCCACTGTTTCCTTCCTCGACTTCTGCTTCTTGTTCTTCTTCTTCTTGGGCACTATTCGTTCGCTCCATGCGTCACGCAACCAAGTATGTGAACGTGGGGCGCGGTGTCCTGTTTGTGTGGTGGCAGTGCTGTCGGTTGTTGCTGTTGCTGTCTTGTTGTGGGTGTGGGTGTGGACTCCCTTCTTTCCTTCTTCTTGTGGCACAAGGATGTGTGCAGGGGGCTGTGGGTCTGCTGAAAGTGGTGGTTTCGTCGTCGTCAGGTCGTCGTTGTTGTGCTTGGCTAACGTGAACATGTGTGCTGTTCTCTTGTGATTGGATATGGCAGTGGCCTGCAGAAACCTAACGACGCTCTTGAGAGTGCACTGGCAACACGTGCCGCTGACATACGCACACCACAAGGCAAGCGACAAGCAGTGTCATTCACGGCCACCTGCGAGGTGGGTGCAATCACACCTCCGCTCGTGTGTGTGTTGTGCGCGTGTGTGTGTATCAGTGCACGGTGGTGATCCGATATCCAAACCACAACCACTGCTGTCACTGCTGCTGCCTTGCTGCTGCTGGTGCTGCTGCTGTTGGCAGGTGTGTTCTCACGGATGCATCGTCTCTTCCTCCCACGCAAACAATTAACAGACAGGAATCGGCAAGTGAGAGTGGTGGAGGCCAAGGCACCAGCAACACAGAAGGCCACGTTTGAGTGGGACGCACCTTCACAGCAGTACCGGAGCGAGCAATCACAGCATTTGCGCCGACATCGGTCAGTCCTCTGTCGTGATCACAGTCATACATCATTCATCCCCCAGCTTGCAATCAAGTCAGTTTACATGGCATGCACGCTGTAGGTGCTCATCACCTGCCCCATGCACACGTGGTTTTCACACACACACACCCCACAACAGCCCGCTTGCGTGGCATCATCTCGCTGGACATGAGTGTTGGGGATGATGATGGCATGCCCACGTCTCATCATGACAGTGAGCGATGTGTGTGTGTGTGTGTCTGTGTCTGGATGTGTGTGTGTGTGTGTGTGTGTGTGTTTCTCATTACGCTCGGCAACCGTGTGATGACGGCTCATCACTCCTGCACACGTTCCCTCGCTCACTGCAACACCCATCTCGCCACCGTTAGCGACCAGGTTGCCATCCACTGGATGCCCTTGATTGCGTCGATGGAGCAGAGTGTTGGTGACATTGGCAAGATGCTGCTCGTGGCGGGACAGAGCGACTGCTTTCAAGGTATGCGCGAACTGTATGTGTAAGCGTGTGTGCATATGTGACGTCGACGTGTTTATTCTGCCATGCGTCTGCTGTCTGTTCTTTGCTTGCCATCGTTTGATCTTGTGCCGCGATGTGTTGTCCTAAGCTCTGTTCCTCGTGCGTGTTTGGGCCACAGGTTATGCCTGGAAGCTGAAAAGAGGAAGGGGAGACGCTGCTCCGGCACAAGGATGATGGTGACATGAGGTGCGACCACCGAATTGTGTTGTTGTTGCGGGTGCATTGCCGCCGCCGCCGCCGCCGCTGCTGCTGCTGCTGCTGCTGGTGGTGGTGGTGGTGTGTACCTGCACACACTGAACTACTCATCACTCGCTATCGTCTTGCAATCCTTCTGTGCGGTTCTCTTCGCGGCTTCGTCTTCACAGCTTCATGTCTGCCAAAGAGAATGAACTCTCTGACACAGTGCGTGTGTTTGTGTGTGTGTGTGTGTGTGCGTGTGTGTGTGTGTGTGTGTGTGTGTGTGTGTGTGCTACTGTTATGCTTGCAACGGCTCGGTGCAGATGACTCCCAACACCCCCCCCCCTTTCTCCTTCTTTCGTGCGCCCGCCCCACACAACAAACGTTGTCCTTCTTCTCCCTTCATAAGCCACCACGTGTGT